TCCCCCCGGACCCCCCTTGAGGAGGTGAGGTGAGGTGAGGTCCGCCCCCCAATAGCACTTTACCCCTGCCTATATGCCGTGAGCTGATTATGCAGCCTTCATTGTAACAGTAATTCAGATGCAATTAGCCTATATAAAAGGCCTCAAATTGGAAGCATTGTCTGGGCCGTCTTTTTCACTCAATTCTGCAATAGGTAGATCTCGCCTTTCACCTAGGCCGAGGTCGGTGATCTTGGGCTTAAAAAGGTTGGTGACCACTGCTGTAAAGGAATAACAATGTGCATTGTACAGCTACAAATTTGAATGTTTGTGATTAACCGATGGTTAAAGAGTTCCTTGTGTAGGGAATAGGATTACAAAACTCTGTGGATAAGCTTTAAAGAGATGATTTTATGAGGCATTGCTCTAGTAAACTACCCAGCAGTTTGTTAACCATAAACATCTACAGCAGTAAAATATAAATGAATGCAGCAGTAATATTAATCAAAAACCTAACTCATTCTGTTCTGAAGCATGCTTTCTGAAGTCCTTGTACAACTGTAGTCGCAGGATAGCTAGATTAAACTGTTATTAACGTTGTGACTATACCTAACCAACTTTTCATGAGCAGCTTCAAAATCAAATGTCTTTAGTAATTGTTATGAAATGACTGTTTCTTTAACAACTATCTTGTGTTTATTTTCTTCTAGGTCTGGTATGCTGGAGTCTGGAGTGGACAGGATCATCACTCAGGTCGTGGACCCCAAGATGAACCACACTTTCCGGCCGCACATAGAAACTGCCATTCATGATTTCTTGTCAGGGGACAGGAGGGAGGAGAACGCTTTGAGTTGTAACTCTGCTCCGTCTGAACAGACAGAACTACAGGAGGCCCCGCCTGCCTCTGGCCCCAAAACCCCCTGAGGGTCCATTTAACAAAAATGAAGTACTCTGTAAGGTCAAGAACAAGTTCAGTTAAGAAATCTATTTTTCATCTTTGCTTCAGGTGTGTGTTAGCCTTTTGAAAGGTGTAGCATCAGACATAAGGAGGATGAAGAAGACCAACAGGGGATCGTTTTTTTGCAACGGACTGGAGTCAGGAGTGTTTCTGCATTCAAAATGTTCAGCATGTGATGTTGTGACATGTCCTGTCAGTGCTGCACAAGGCTACTGCTGAAGGAGTCGGAAAAAACGTAATGCACTCTAACTGTACCGAAGGGCTTTGTGCATAAGAAGAAAAAAGGGAAAAGCCTGGATAATAATTTCTTTATGTGCCAATCACATTTTTACTTAAGTAGGTTGAAGACAGATGTCTTACTCACCCAGTTTGTGTGTGTACAGACATGTTCCTTAGTTAACATGTTGACTTGTTTAACTGAAATGATTCAGATGATGAGTGAAGTTGATGGGCTGGTTTCAGTCAGGAGGAAGAAGATCCAGTAGTTTCATTCTAAGTCAAATTGAATTATTGAAAAACATTGAAGCAAATATTTTTTGATCAGTATCTAGAATTGTTTCTTTTTAGTGCATGTATTTAGTATGTAGCATTGTTTGTGCATCCTATGTGATTTACTAAACACAGGTGAAATCATATTCCCCTATGTCTCACTGTTCTTTTTTGTTCCAGTTTGTAGTTCCTGTGCTTTTATTAGTAAAGATACCCTGATGTATTCAAAGCTGTTTGTTAAGCGGAGCAGTAGCAAACCACAGCCATTTATTTCCTTAGTGTGAGACAAGAACCAGAGCAGATAATCATAAAATAGTACCACTAGGTGGGGTTGTTTTCCCCTTTAAAACATTGAATCTGCCAAAAAGTAATCCTAAAATTATATTTAGAGGCAAACCCCCTGATTCCGACCCCAGAAACTTACAAATGTCCTATCCACATATTTGGGATCCTACAATAACTGTTTTATTATGAGAAGGTGTACACGTGGAAGTCATGAGTTATGTTGAGTGACCAGTGACTCAGTACCTTTTGTATGAGCCACTGACAGACTGCCATGTCAGGACGGGAGTACAGTGTGTGTGTGTGTGTGTGTGTGTGTGTGTGTGTGTGTGTGTGTGTGTGTGTGTGTGTGTGTGTGTGTGTGTGTGTGTGTGTGTGTGTGTGTGTGTGTGTGTGGTGTGTGTGTGTGTGTGTGTGTGTGTGTGTGTGTGTGTGTGTGTGTGTGGTGTGTGTGTGTGTGTGTGTGGTTGTGTGTAGTACGTAGTTAGTACGTGTGTGTGTGTGTGTGTGTGTGTAGTGTGTGTGTGTCGTAGTGTGTGTGTGTGTGTGTGTGTGTGTGTGTGTGTTGCTTGCTTAACTTTATTGATTCAACCACTTGTTTTTTGGCAAGAGACTGATCCACAATTTTCCAAAATATGTGTCAACGAGGGTGTTTGTAAATCTGCCCTACATACGTTTTTTGTTTACTATGTGTCTGTGTAGAATATGCTTTAAGGATTATGCTGAACAAATTGAAACATTGGATGAATGTTATCAAAAAAGGTAACTAAATAAGCTGTTGCAAGAAATTATGCATTAGAGATGTTCAAAAAATGTCATACATATACTTCCATTGAACTGAATATGTTAGAACATCAGCACAAAAAACTATCTGCATGTGTCCTTTGTGTGGGAACGTATAAGTAAACTCATAGAAAACCAGCAATATGGTCATTGAAGTCTATAGTCTCAGTCTAGTGATCTGAAAACACAATGGCAAAACAGTCAACAGATCAGAGTTCATAAACCCAAAGGTTATAGTAATGTTTCCTCCTTCAAAGCAGACACTGACTGGATGAACATGATCTATATGCACACAGAAACATCCAGAGGCATGCATGATGTTTACGACACGATCAAGAGAAAGGGTCCTCCATCTGTACTGTTTACACAGTGGTGTCTATGTGCATTTGTCTGTGATTTTGGACATGTGAGTGTGTTCATGTCGGGGTGAAGGGTCATTGCGTGGGTGGTCAGCAGGGGTTGTGTGAGGGAAGCTGTGGGATGTTGTTTTGAGCATGATGAGACAAATCGAGCAGGAAAGGTCAGGGGAAAAAAGTCCAAAAGACGTCCAAACATCAGCCCCCCTATAAGAGAAGGTCTTCCCTCACTGGGCCCCTGCATGGACACACACAAACCCACTCTGGCATCGCACCTTGACCTCTTGTTCTAAACCATGGAGCAAGGAATTGTGTATTTTTTTGACTTGCGGATTGACAGCCCATCGTTATGTGGTCATGATGCCACATGACTGGTCTGTCTCTTTGTAGTTGTCAGGGGTCAGAGGTCATGGCTGTTATGAGTCAAAACACAACCGCAACAACTAGGCTGCAAGATGTAATGCTTCACAAAGAAAAAAAACAAAGCTTACCTCACATTGGACTCACAACACAAACCTGTTTCCCTTTGATGTGACCCTTCTAGCTCGCCAATTGTCTGAACAGTTATAATAATCTAAAAGTAAAATGTTGCAAGTTTTTTTTTTTGTGTGTGTCATATCCCATAGAGATTTGGCCACACTCTAAGCTACAGTTATATTATTTGATCACAGACCTTTTCAACCAGACTTGCTTTTTTGCAAGGTGTGTTTAACTGAAGTATCAGACATGACTTTCCATAAGACCAGCTGGTAGAAATCACAACATCAGATACAAAAATGGTGAGCATCTAGAATCTAGATAGCAGAAATATACATCAGCATTATAAACATTTTGACAGGAGACATATCTATAAACTGTGTCTGTGTGTATAAGAGTATTATAAGCTTATTTATATGAACATGTCAGAAAAATGTGATGCAAAATAAATTCAGTGTACAGGAATGTAGCATTATAACAATTTGTCAAACCTGACCCCCTTCACACACTCTTTCAGGTCCGGTGCCCCTGAGACGTTCCTCACTGCACGTTTCCCTGCCAGGAAAGCAGCTGCTAACCCTCAAAGAAACACACACACACACACACACACACACACACACACACACACACACACACACACACACACACACACACACACACACACACACACACACACACACACACACTGGCTGTCGGGTTAATTGAGTGTGGATGTCTTGAGTGGTTGACCTTCACGTAACCCCGCATACTGCAGAGTATCAGGAAGACCTTATAAGAGCAATTTTGAATATTAAAGCAGCATATTGAATTATACGTTGTTAAACTAAACCAGACTCCCAACAAAATATCTGTTTCTAATAAAAAAAAATTCCTTCTACCAATAATACAGTTTTGGTTCCAGTTTGACGCTCGTTCACAGGGTTGCGCTATGATAGGTGGAGACAAACGTGAACGCGCCACGCTCGTGCTCGTGTTATATATTTCAGCCTTCATGCCCGGTCGTACTTTATAGTGGAAACTCCTCTGCAAGACTATCGTGCTGTAACCTATAACGCAAACAAAATAATCCTTTCTAAAGCTGTGACTAGCTGAACTAAATATGGCGAACTTCCCCGCGGTGTTCCTCCTGCTGCTGGCCTGTCAACAGGTGCTGACCATGGAGCTGCATGATATCCAGGAGAAACAACTGAGCCAGACCAAGAGACGCCTCTCCCCGCAGAGCACAGGTGAGTTGTAATAACAGGTGTGCCCCTGACTTCACTCTCTGTCACACTGAATCCAGAATGTTCTCATGTCTCCAGAAGAACACCCAGGGTCACTGGCCCTTTAATTGTTAGAAAGTATTGAATTCAAGGCATGTGCATTGTGCAAGGATGCCAAAAGCAATCTCTGCAGGATGTTTATTTGGCCTGACTGAAAATCTGACCGATCTGGGAGGCTTTGGGGACATTTTTGCATGTCATCAAATGTGTTTTGCACATGCACTAGATTTCCATGCCTTTAAAACCTGTAGCACTTCTTTAGGCTTGCTTTATCTCTTGGATAGTTTATGTGTGGTTTCCCTCTGGACCCCAATGTGCAGTGACACTGCCATGTCAACAAGTTATGATACACACACGTAGATTCNAATTGTTAGAAAGTATTGAATTCAAGGCATGTGCATTGTGCAAGGATGCCAAAAGCAATCTCTGCAGGATGTTTATTTGGCCTGACTGAAAATCTCAAATGTGTTTTGCACATGCACTAGATTTCCATGCCTTTAAAACCTGTAGCACTTCTTTAGGCTTGCTTTATCTCTTGGATAGTTTATGT